CCCTAATGCATATCTTTTGGATTGTTTGTTAATTTTTGGATAACATTTGGTTTCAATTGCATTTTAAAATTTTTGTTCCGCTTTTTAATGCTTTCACGAGCTTCGGATTTTTTAGAATAAATGGTTAGGATTTCTCCAATTTTTGAATTTTTCCAATCTATTGAATTACTCTTGGGACATTGAACTTTTTCCATCTGTCGAATATTTAATTTCTTGATTCCTCCAAATTTCAAATTTATTGAACTTGTTGAAGTAAAAATTTTTCCATCCATTCACATTCTCAAATGTTCCTCCCATTCTCAAATGAGTAAATAAATATGAGATTCTTCTCATTCTCTCCGAGATAAATATCTGTTTGAAATATGATGTTTCAAACATTGTACTGTATCTCAGACAAAACTTTTAATTAAACACAAAAAACTACAATAATTTTTTCAATGGCTTGACAGTTAGAGTTAGAATTATTCTTAACAAATAGATTTTGTTACAGCTATGAATTTATGATATTTGCTCACTTATTAATTACTATTGTCATCTCTTAGACTTTAAAATTTCCTTTGTAGAATAAGATCATTCGATTTTCTTCTATTTTCTTTAAGATTTTCTTCTATAATAATCATTTTCAGATTTACAGTAAACAATATGCAGAAGCAGAAAGAAAATAATTTTATTCCAAAATGAATACTCGTTATCAACTGGTTGTTTTCACAGCTTTCTTTTGCTTTTCAAGGTGAAATTATCGATTAAACAAAGTTAAATCAAAGTTAGGTGAACAAGCAAAATGAAGGAAGTAGGAACATTTTCTGTTACACTTTTATTTGATTTAAATGATTCAATAAAATTCAAAAATTTGCTAAATGAGCTCTTTTGAAAAAAGCTTTGATTAGGAATTAGAAAATGAGAGGATATAGTAACGTTGCATATGTTAAATAAAAGACAATGTGACTAATTTATTGTTGCGAAAATGAAAAAAAAAAGATAATCTATATATGTAATTGTCAAAATGGATATAGCGATTGGTTGGTGACCCAAAACTTTATGGAAAAAAAGGAAAGAGTAACTGGAAAGTTAAAATAAATGAAAAACGAAAAGAAAAATGAAACTAATCTTCCCTTTTGTTTACAAAATTTCAAAATCTTCCTCTACTCATATGATTTGATAATATTTTGTCGCTTCCGAAATTTCGCAAATTTATCTGATTCTATTATTGAGATGTTAATTAATGTTATTAGCATGTTTGAGAATTGTCAACTTCTCAGCGGTACAAAAAGTTTCGATAAGCCAGAAATATATTCTGAAAACTTTTGATTATTTTTTGAGATATTCAAATAGATTTAATTTTTTTAACAAATTATAACGAAAATTCCGATCATGATTATGCATGAACTATTTATATATTGTTCTAATCAATAATTTTTAGAAGAAAAAAGAATGAATTATAAATCTTATAAAGAAACAATTATTAGATGTTTATTCAAAATCATCTGTTAATTTGTCATAAATTCACTGAAAACCAACAAATACATTTGCATAAAACCAGCATTAATCTTTGTCATAAAATTATTTGAAAACTAAAATTATTGACAACTTTTTATTAATTAGATTTGTTTATTACGGGAAAATTTACTAAATTATCGTCTCATTTTGTTACTTTATAGTGCGATTGGAAAGATACAAATAAATGAGGAGCAAAAAGAAGATTATAATCGTAAATTGAATAGTTACTATCGATGCATGGAAGGACGAAAGAAATATATCGAGCAAAAGATGACACCAATTCAAGCAATTGTCGCATTACGGGATGCTGAATTGGAATTGCAGTGTTTCAAATGGTAATTATATGGTTGCTAACCATTTCTGTGGACAACGGTTAAAATACTTCGAATTAAAAATGCGAATTAAGAGAATTTTATGATATGATTACAGTAGTTCGAATTAATATCATTATGAACAATAAATTGAAAATGTTAGAATGAACAAGATCAGGATGAGTAGTTGAAATATTTTTCTTTTAAGAGACGAATATAGGAAGTAATATTAGTGCTGGGTAGTAGTTCATTGTAATGATTTATTACTGTTATAGTTTAAGTCCGGAAGAACAAACCGAAGTAGAAGAAGTTTGGAAACCGAACGAATCATTCATAGGAAAAAAAATTCGTCAAATCATTGATAAAGTAAAAGAGGTATAAATATAACAATATAATGGAAAATATTGATTTTCTACGGAAAAAAAGTGTTCTCTAACTATTTGCACTTTTTTTTGTCTTAAGTTTTATTAAAATTCAAAATAAAATTTGAAATGAAGTTGGGAATGTTATAACATGTACTTATTTTTGCAGTTTATTTTATCAGAAGTTGAGCGTAGTGGAAAGCAAAAAACGAATGAATGGGAATATATTTGGGAAAAAGCTGATTTTGAGAAAGGCATGAAGGGTTGGTGGAGAAGTATCGTTAACATTGATCCGACTCTTTCTGTAGCTGAAAAAACTATTAGTCTTATTAAAAAGTATTTTCATCAATTATTTGCACTCATGTAATTTAATAGCTTACTGATAACACTGATAATGATATTACGCCATCGTAGATTATAAGACACTTAATTGTAACAACATGACATATCTATTGAAGATATACCTGACATATCATGTTGCTGTTGGTGTTATTAGTAATCAAGTTAGTATAGCATATTTTAAATAGAATTTTTATTCTTTCCTTCTTGTCCTACGATACTCTTCTTTTTTAATTTTCAAAAAAAATCCTTGAAATTAGCAAACTTTCTAACTGAAATTCAGATTATTGCTGGAAATTTGGTAAAACAAAAATGCGAAAAACTAAATCCTTGTGGATAAAATTTCAGAAGATCAACTAAATTGTTTGTGATAATTTTTGCACAAGTTAAGATTCATGAAGCGTCAGGTCAATGAACCAAAACTTGGTGATCATTTCGAGCTTATACTACCAAAATTAAGCCGAAAAGACATGGGCTGGTATCGTTGCATAAGACGTATGAACAATACGGTAAAAATAGCTAATATATATTACATCGATGTGATCACCAATTCAACCCCTGAAATTGTTAGTTTGCCGATGATTAATTAATTTTTTGATGGAATTGAAATTTCCAAACTGAAATTAAATTCGACTAGTTTTATGTTTAAATGCAATTCATTTTAATTACAGCATGCATTTTAAAACTTACAATTAGTTTCATCCCTAAAATAGCTCATTGCTTCAATCAATTGTGATGTGATTTGTTTTCAGATAATAAATAATTCTGTGAAGGATCAAATGCAAGCTATGCAACATAAATTTGCAAATTTTAAATTACAATCGAATGCAGTCGCTACTCCATGGAGTGAATGCAGTAATTGCGATACAAGAGAAGGCGAAAAACGACGCAAAATTGCTTGTCATTTATCGGTAATAAACATTTTGGTAATTTCATACATACAGTAGCAAGTGGACCGGATGAAACCTTTAGCATTCCAAAAATTGAAACAGATAAATTAGATGTACAACAAATGATAATTAGTGATACCATTGAAACCGGAAGAAATTCAGATTGCTCCTGGCATACCTTACGATGCAATTTCACATTCTGTGATCTCATATATGCAACTCTTCTCCCATGTTCCTTGTCGCAGTTCATTGGTACCAATCCAAATACGAAATATCTTGTGGCCCATTCAGGATATCGTCCATGTTGAAAATTGTTATGTAAGAAAGACTGATCTTTGACCTTTAAATGAATTACAACGGACACTAATATTCAACGATGGATTTTGGTTACAATTACTATGTACATGCACAAAAACAAAACAAACATAGGTTAGTGAATTAGTAACAAAGAAGTGTTGCAAAAAAATGGTTGCACAACTTTTTCATTAATTTCCCTGGACCAAAATTTAATTATCT